ATTGTGGTGTCATAACCGAATGTATAAGGAAAAAGAGTTGCCGCACAGAAACTTTGGGTCATGGGACTGTACCTACCCTCCTAAATTAAGGAGAAAATAGGAAACGTATTTTCGAAAGGATTAAACCCCCTGTCCCGGGTTGGGGACAGGGGTGAAAACAAGGGCGCTCTGAGACAGAAAGCACGATTGTTTTCGAAAAGAGCACAAGGGATGTTCACCTTCACAATGAATATAACCATCACAGTAAAAAGCATTTTTATCAGTTTTATGTGGAAATGTTTGGATTCGACCACGGTGCTTTTGCTTGTCCTCAAAGTTTAAAAAAAAAAAAAAAAAAGGTTTTATGTTTTGGATAGTTTACATGGAATGGAATTGCCTGTATTTGAAGTCTATATGCATTTTCGAACTATGCTCTCGTGTTCATTTTGATTGGCTTTAGCAGGAATTGAAAAGGGCACGGGTTGCATTAAATAGTTCTTTTATTGATTCAGAGCGAACGGTTGGAGGCAAAGACCAGTTAGACATAGGCTAGGAAGTGATTCTGATTAATTTTAATTCTCCAAAATTTCGACTACAGACATGCGGTGCACATTTTACCATTCAATTTCAATTGACTTTACTAATACTAGCATTTTTGGCTTTTGCGTAAAAGATGAAAAGAAGCTAGTGATGGCAAAAAAAACTCGTTCTGCTCCGCCCCGATGGGCCCTGTCCCGAATGGGGCAAAAAAACCCACCCGAATGGGCGAGGCTAGGTGGGGCGGGGATGCTCAGCCCCTAACCCGCCCCGTGAAGGAAAAAATATAAAAAAAAATTAAAAATAATTTTATTTCTAGACAATTCATTTGTTAAAAACTCTTTTTGAATTTGTATTTTATTATCTAATAATAACATAACTTGAAACTTTGAAAATGTAAAAAAAAATTAAACGGGGCAAGAAGTTGCCCCGTCCCTGTCCCGTCGCCGCGCCCTTAGACGGGGCGGAGTGGGGGCGCTCCGCCTTGAACCTGTCACATTGCCATTCCTGAAAGAAGGAAAGAACCCTCTTCTTAGTCTATTTTTGGCAGACTATTCCATGAAAATAACGTACGAGTTAGACTTTTGATCAAGAATTGAGTTGAGCATATAGTTTAGATTTTTTTTTTTAAATTTTTTTATTGTAAAATGGCCCTAAAATAAACTGAAATAGTTGAAAATAAAATAAGAGTTTTTTTTTTTGTTTTCTTTTTTTGTGCCTCACTGTCTCCAAACTTTTATAAATGTGGTAACTATGGAATTCAACCTTTTATTTGTGCACTTGTGTCACAAGCTTTTAACATAGGTGCACGGTATCTTCACATGATAAATGTCTATTTAGATGTTAAATGCCCAAAGGACACACTTGATGTTTGATTGAAACAGGAAAATTGTTCAAAAAAGCTTTCCTTTATTCAAAAAATAAAAAGGTGCATGTTCAAATTATATTAAATATTGCTTCTTTTCTACAATCTTACCGTTTCCGTCAGAGTTTACACACGTGATGTTTGGCCATTTTGACGACTAAATACATGTAATGTAACATGCTTACAATGTTAATTTAGGGACATGATTGTCACTTAATGAAACGAATCTACCTTAATCTATAATCTGTAATATATTAATCATTTTTTGGACAATTTTAATAATATCATTTCGTTTTTCAATATATAATAAATACTACAAAATTCTTATCGTGTATGAATTTCATATTATTAATTCTCAATTAATTAACATTCATATTAATCTTTACTTGATGAATCTTAATCTACATGAATCTAGAATTATTATAGATGAATTTATTTCTATTCATACATCTAAAATTTTTAATGGGTGTTTAAATTCATTTATTAACAATTAATTCTTATGTACCAAATATAGTATAAAAATGTTGTTCATTTATAGTATTTCATCTGACAAAAAATTTGAATCATAGAATTGAGTTTTGTAAGTACATTTTCTTCTTTTAAATTTTTATTCTAAATTTTATTTTCTTTAGATCATTTGAAACTCATCAAAACCTCTTAAAAAATTTGTATCAAATATTACTTTAATAACATTTATGAAGTATTTCAAGATACGTTCAACTTTGATTAGTAATTACAACATTGTTGCGTATATTTAAACTAATAGAATCAAAGTATCAAGACTTGTATGATTGTTTAAGACAATATTTCATGTTCTAATTCAAAATTTCAAATGTAAATAGTGGTTCAAAGCCTAACTTTTACTTATAATTTTTAAATTATAATCGAAACTAGAAACACGTTCATTGTAGAACTTATATTGTATTCTTCATAACAAACTATTAATAGTCCAATAGAATGATAGCAAGTTGTTTTGGTCATTGAATTTAATGTTGTCAAAATCAGTTAGTCCAAAAAATTGAGAATCGATTTGAGAACTAGTCAATTATATATGAGAATCGTAAAATAATCAACCCATCCTAAAAAGTGAAAAATTGACCAGTTCATTACAAAAACTACTCGGTGCACAATAAGAACCACTTGGTTCATTAGTTGATTGTCTTATTTTCTCAAGATCACTGTCCAATCAGAATATATCATATTAGTTTAGAGTTTACTCATCTTATTCTACGATTTTTTTTTCTTTTTTAATGAATGGAACCTCGTTACTCATTTCACGGTGTGAGAAGATAGGTATCTCTATTCTTTAAAAAAATAAAAAACATTCTGGTAAAGGAATTTCATAAAAATTTATTTGAATTGTGCGTATATAGGTGTCAACTCGAGAAACAGATACACCAAAATTATTAGTTAAATAAATATAAATTCTATATCTTTGAAAGATTCTTTACAAATAAATGAAATAAATTATTATCTTAATTTATTATTTTTTTGCTGACTGCTGAGTCAATTTTGGCTTTTCGTTGGGTTGAATTTCTCTTTTACTCAAGTTTTTCTTGTGATTTTACCCAACAGAGTGGGGCCAACTCTGAATCGTTTAATCTTAGCTCATATAGACTATAGATTAGAAGTAATTCAATCAATCAAGTAACCAAAACCACCAACCACCCACTCACGGATAATCCAATCTTACTGCCGGCAACTTGTTTCACATGCTATGTTTTAGAATAAAAAAATCTCGAAAGTTTTAGATATTTTACAAAAATAAATAAATAAATAAATTCTTGTTATAATTTCGTTACTCCCTTTTTCTGGTAAAGTGAAACTCGAAAGTTTTAGATATTTAACAAAAAAAATAAATTTTTGTTATAATATCATTGCTCTTTTTTTTTCGATGGAGTGAAGTTGTTTAGTTTCATTTGATAAACAAGATAAATCGTTTCAATTCTTTATTTCGTGAGTGGCAATCCGTCATCCTTCTAACTTGTGCACGTGAATATGAATATTGACAAAAATGCTTAATATATAAGTCGGAAGGAAATTATTATTTTTGATGATAGACGAGCAAATAACGTAAAGTAGTTGTCATTGAAAGAAAAATAACATTTAAAAACATATGTTAATATCATGTTAATTGGAGAGACATTTATTTACTAACTTTAATTAGACGAGGCGATTAAACATTAAGATAGTGAAATTGGTGACGGCATGCATATTGGAATTCTTCCATTTGAAGACAAAACTATTAGAATAGACTAGAAAGAAATGGGGAAAAAAGGAAAATATTAAATTATTTAAATAATGGAATTTATAAGAATGTGAGATTTATTGGTGGAAGAATCCACCAATTAAAGATAAATTAAAGACAATGGAATGACTAGTTCCCAACATGCCCACAAAGCATATAAAAGTGGGACCAAATTCAACACCTGTCCAACTTAAATCTATATAATTAATTACTTCTAGATTAATTATGAGTGAATTCAGATGCTTTTGGGATATAAAAAATAGGGTTTACTTGTTCTAATAAGATTTGCCAAGATCTTCTTCATTAATATTTTATGATTACCCACTTCTTAGTATTCCTACTTTGTTTAGCAACTACTATCCTAATCATTTTTTAATGCATCTAAATACATGGTCAAGATAAACATGAACTTGAATAGTTACATTATCCTTCTTCTCATAACGGAAATCTAGATTACCATATTTTCGATTAGGTATTTTGTAAAAACAAAGCTCTCATTTGGTTGATTTTTCTAGCCAAAAAATTAATTTTTTGACCGTTATTTAACATGATCAGTCGTCATTTTTGACTTCTTCCCTCACCGATGAGATTCACTTTTTTCTTTAACGATCAAAAAATTAATTCTAAGAATCAATACCAAACAGACCCAAAATATTCTACCGAAACTGGTCTAACCACTAAGGTCACTCCATCTGTAACGAGGTTCCCTTAGAAGCGTGTCACTTATTATACTAATTGTTACAATCAAACTGAGTGTAACTCACATTTCAAACCTACTCAGAGAGAGAGAGAGAGAGAGAGAGCGCGCAAGTAGTTATAATTTCGTAAATCTAGTCGTAATTAGACCCTTTAAAATTACTTATGTATATAATATATATAATTATGTGGAAATTTTTATTTTTCAACATTTTAGTTCGACTTAATTAATTAATTTTTTTTTTAAAATTCAATCCTGAATTCATCCTGATTGGAATGCAATTATTGTCAATATAATTATATATATGAACATGATTTAAAGTACTATTGTAGATGGGACGAGGCACCTAGCGAACAATTAATACAGGAAAAATCCACTAATTAGTTGGTCAATCAAAATAATCCAAATATAATAAACTTTTTCAGTACAGTACTATATTTGTTTTTAAAGCTAGATCTCCTTTCATTGCAGGTGATTATGTCTCCATCTTTTTCTTTGACTTTTGTCATTAACATTAATATTAATATCACATTTTCTACTTTTTAAGCAAGGAAGATTTCTATTCAATTGCTTAGGTGCTACCAATTGCAATAATTTATTATAATTTAAAGTGCTTTAATAGACCACCAAATTTCTTAATTATAGTATTTGTACATATATAGACACACAGATTGAATCATCTAAGGTGGGAAAATAATATTCTTGTTTAGAGGTAGATACAGAATACACTCGCATATTATATAAAGCTAGGTACATTAGTTCAAGAAAGAACATTGTTCATTCTCATCATCTTTAAAAGTGATGGAGAAAAATATTACTGATGCAGAATCATGCATGGAGAAGAAGGTGAAGCTATTTGGATTCGAGCTCGATTTGTGTCAAAAACGGAAGGAAATTGAAGGAGATGAAAGTGTGAATTCATCATCTTCTTCTACTGTAACATCAGGAAGAGAGAAAGCTACCTTAGATAAGGGCGAAAATGAGAAATTCAATAACGAAACAAGCCTTGTGCCCAATAAATTAGAGATTGATCAAGAACAGAAGAAATTCGAGTGCCAATATTGTTTCAAGATTTTTGCAAATTCACAAGCCCTGGGAGGCCATCAAAATGCCCACAAAAAGGAAAGAATGAAGAAAAGGAGGCAGCAGCTTCAAGAAAGAAAGGGAAACATGATCAACTATTACCACAATATTCAGCCCTTTCAGAATTCTAACAGATATTATGGATCTTCTGCATGGTTTTATGATCCTTCATGTCATGCTCAAGCTGAATTTACACTCTATGAGGAGTCTCAAATCAGCTTCGGCCCGTATCAACGCCTTCCGTCTCAACAAGATACGCATATATTCAGCCTTACGTATCCTGATGATAATAGGTCGAGAGATCGGAATATGACGCCAGTCGTCGTCAGAAAGCCCTCATCTTCGCCTAATCCGAAGAGTAATTGCAAAACTTTAGATCTTAAGTTAGGGTTGAGTTTAGAATAATCCACTATTGAATCTCAAGTAGAGAAATATTGGTTAGGATAATTTACTTCTTGAACTTTTATTTCTATTTTAAGTTAATTAGGGTTAAACCACACCTATGGCTCCCGTATATTGTTGAAATGCAATGATTTGTATTAATTAAGGTTCATACACTTTTGTCAATCATTCTTAGAGATTCAGCACAAAATGAGATTTACTTCTTTGTTCTTAGATCCTATAAGAGTTATTTATATAATTCTTTTTCTTTTCTTTTTTTTCTTTTTGTTGCATCAAAAATTTATGTAAGAACTTCGTTTGGTGGTTTTTGCAAGAAATTATTATGGAAATAAAGACCCATTAATAAGCTTATTGAGGGACTGAATTTTCAGTGAGGCGAGCGCACCATTTCATTAATAAGCCTACTGAGGGACTAAATTTTCAATGGGGTAGTGCGAGGCGCCACCTCGGCAGGTGGCCCACACACCTCGGGGATGTGTGGTGGGCCACCCACCGAGGTGGTGTACATTGATAGGCGGTACGATCGCTTCACTAAAGTTTATCTCCTATTAAGGGCTTGTTTCGCAAGGTTTAGTCAAAAGTTGCTTATGAGATTAAGAAGTTACTTTTGAATTTATTTGAATAATTTTTTAGTAGTATTTTGTCAAACTAGTAAATTTTTTAAAGAAAGTTAATGTAAAATCCATAGAAAACTTTTTTACAAGAAGGAAAAATAAAAATAAAAATAAAAATCCTGCCAAATGATATCCTCCATCGTGCTCTATCAATTGGATAAGAATCAATTCCCAAATGAAGGAATTTTTCCTTTATATATGCATGTCTGAACTTTGCATGACAAACGAGAGTACCACTTTAAATAAAAAATGGATTGTTGTTATGAAAGAGAGAAAAAGAGAACAGAGGATAAAAGTTAATAGACTTGTCTGTATTTTATTAAGAACGAAAACCCTATATTCATAGAAAAAAATTAAGGATGTAATGATAATAATTACTATAGATGCAAGGGTACAATTGTAATTCATTAATAAATTTACAATTCATAACACTATCCATTGAATGACACATTATAAAATATCTGCCTTGTTAAACATTTGGTTGATAAAAATCCATTGGAAAAAAATCATATGAAGGAAAAATGGTATAATTATTTTGGAGTATTAAAAATAAATGATGCATTATTGAAACCTTACGAGGAAAACCTAGTGGGATAAAACTTAGGCGAAGGAAAAAGAGTAGAATTACTCTCCTTGATGTTGATCACAAAAAATCTTTGAACCAGTGCATTCCAATCTCGTGAACCGATTTCTTGAATGTAGATGTCGACAATGCTTTTGTAAATAAATCGGCTACATTGTCACTTGAGCAAATTTGTTGGACATCGATATCGTCATTCTTTTGAAACTCATGTGTATGAAAAAATTTTGGAGAAATATAAAGCCTGTTTGGGAGTGATTTTAAGAATTGATTTTTTGATCGTTAAAAGAAAAGTGGGGTCCACCCGTGAGAGAAGAAGTCAAATATGACGGCTGGAATAGTGAAATAACGGTTAAAAAATCATTTTGGGAGGGGGGGAATCGATCCCAAATAGGCCCATACTTTGTCTTGTCATCTTTGATATAGTTTCCTTTGAATTGTGCAATACAAACTGTATTGTTTTCACATAAGATTGTTAGACTATCTTTTGTTAAAGTTAACTTGCTTGATACTTGGATATGATGAGTCATGTTCCTCAACCATACATATTCTTACCCTTCATGGATTATAATAATTTCAGATGGATTTGAGGATGTTGCTATTAAGAATTGTTTTATAGATCTCCATGATATAGTTATTCCTCCACATGTAAACACATATTTAGTTTGTGATTTAACTTTATGTGGGTCAGAAAGATAACATGTATCCGCATATCCCATTAAAGTAAATCTCGACTTTTGATAATAAAATAATCATAAATCAATGGTATCCTTTAGGTTACGAAAAATATGTTTAACACCATTCCAATGTCTTGAGTTGTTGTAGATCTTTATCTTGCAAGGAAATTTATAGAAAAATTATGTCGGGTCGAGTGCATTTTGCAAGATAAGTTAATGCTCTAATTGCACTAAAGTACGGTACTTCAAGACTAAGAATATTTTTCTCCATCTTCAAGTAGACGGAATGGATCTTTTTTCATATTAAGTGATCAAACAATCATAATTGATGCCAATGGTGTGCATTATCCATATAAAAAAATTTTACGACTTTTTTAATATATGTAGATTGATGAACAAATAATCTTTTTGAAAAATGTTCAATCTGCAATCCAAGACAAAATTTGTTTTTTCTCAAATCCTTCATCTTCTGATTATTTTTCAAATAATCAACAGTTTTATTGAACTCTTCAAGAGTTCCAATTAAATTTAAATCATCAACATAAACTGTTACATTGCAAATCCAATATTTTGTCTTCTTTATGAAAACACATTGACAAATATCGTCATTTTTATAACCCTCATTGAATAAATATTCGCTAAGGCGATTATATCATATGCGTCCAAATTGTTTCAATCCATATAATAATCTTTGCAATTTAATATTAAACATGGTTCTCGATCATTTATCGTTTGTTTTGGCACTTTAAGTCATTCAGGAACTTTCATATATATGTCATTATGAAGTGAACTATATGAATAGGTAGCTACTACATCCATAAGATGCACATTGAGCTTTTGTGACGCAATCAAATTAATTAAGAATCTAAAAGTAATAGTTTCCATGACAGGAGAATATGTTTCTTCATAATCGATTCCACGTATTTTAAGAAATCTTGAGCTACGAGTCGAATTTTATATAATGTAATTTCATTATTTTCATTTTTCTTTTGTAAAAAAATTTAATTATATCCAACAAAGATTGTATTTTCAGGTGTTCAAACTGCAAGTCCAAACATTTATTGTCTCTCTAAGTAAATCAATTGTGCTTGCATGACTTCTTTCAATTTTAGCCAATCATTTTTGTTTTGACAGTCTTTAACAGACTATAGTTTAGAATTCTCATTTTGCATAATATCAAGAGTTAAATTAAAGACAAAAATATTGTATATAACTACATTATTCTGTTCCTATAATTTATGAGATAACATATAATTTATTGAAATCTTATTATTTCGAAAACTCTTGGTTCTTCAGAAACCACATTTTCAATATTTGATTAATCAATCTTTTATAATGTTATTTCTTCCGAAATTTTGGTTGGTCTTTCTCTTATACTTTTCTTTTTTAAGGTACAGAATCTTTTAAACCAACTGGTCGACCACGCTTCTGATGTATTTAAAATTTATTTGCTACAATAGATTGTCCTGCAGGGACATTAATTTTGATTGGAATATTTTCTACTGGTATATATGACTTTGTCACTTTTCTTGGGTCAACAAATACATCAGGTAATTGATTAGCAATTCTTTACAAACGAATAATTTTTTTAACCTCTTGCTTGCACTGATTATTGTAGGGATTAAAGTAAGATAGAGTTGTTTCATTCCAATAAATTTTACCAAGTTTTTCAGGAGTAGTTTTTCCCATCATAAAAGTTGGGAAAGTCATTTAATCAAAATGACAATCTACAAAACGTACAATAAATTAATCACCCGTTAAAAATTCAAGATTCCTAATAATGGATGTGAATCAAAATCCACATAAATCTTAAATCTTCGTTGGAGGACTAATTTTAGTATGTCGTGGGTGTGAAATAATGACTTGGTTAGTAAAACCAAAAATTCGTAGGCGAGAAAAATTGGGTCATGATCAAATACAACTTGCAAATATGAATATTGATATAAGAAGTGGGTTTTATATGAACCAATGATGCACCATGTAATATGACATGACCCCAAACAAAAGCTGTGAGTTTTATTTTCATAAGTAATGATCTAATAATAAGTTATAAACGTTTAATAAATGACTCCGCTAAACCATTTTGTATATGGATATGCGCAATCGAATGTTCAATTGTAATCCCAATTGACATACAATAATCATTGAATGCTTATGATCTAAATTTATCAACATTGTCAAGATGAATAGTATTGATTGAGTAATCGGGGAACTGTGCTTGTTATTTTATTATTTGAGCAAGTAATCTAACAAATACTACATTCCTAGTGAAAAATGGGCAAACATGTGGACATCTAGTAGAATAATCAATTAATAACATAAAATAATGAAATGGTACACGGTTGGTGTATTGGCCCACACATATTTCCATGAATTCTTTATAAAAAAATAGGAGATTCAATATTAACTATTGTAGTCGAAGATCTAATGACTAACTTGCTTTGTGAACAAGCTATATATGGATAATTATTAGGTAAAATAATCTTCTAGTCCTTTAAATATGTCTATGTGATTTGTTTATCATTCTACACATCATTATAACTCTTGGATATTCAACTCGACCATGCTAAAGTGTTGTATAAATTTTTTTGGATTAATGAACTTCTAGTTTGTGACAATATTTCATTCAACTACTTCTATAAATATATAAAACATACCAGATGAGAGTACATGAATTTTTTCTTTCATCTGCTTCTGACCAAATGCAAAAGAAGTTATGCAAAGATATTCAACATTATTTTCTTGAATCGTCTTAATGTGATATCTATTGCAGCGGATATCTTTAAAACTAAGTAAATTTCTTATGAATTTGCTATAATAAAGTATATCATTAATATATAATTTTGTATTATTTGGTACGATAATACGAGTTATTCCTGAGGTTTCAAAAATATTCGATACACCTGATATTGTATTAACATTATTTTCTACTAATGTTAAATTCAAAAAATATTTTTTGTTTTGAAAAATAGTATATGTAGTTACACTATCAATTAAGTCGGTGTCTTGACAACCCATCATAAATCTATAAATATAACAAAATAAATGTATTTAAAAATTTTGAATTTGGCCCTGTTTAAATCCCATTATTTCCTCATTAAAATGAAAAATATGATCGTTATTTATTACATCAAGCTACCAAATTTGACTTTTTATTTCTTATGTGGAGCTCATAACGACTATATTTTTCATTCTCATTTTTACAACAATGTGGCTCAAACGGGGGCTTGAATTTAAAAAGTAAACACAATTCAATAATGTGAAATTAACGATGCATAATAATATATTTCAAACTAAATTTTTAAAATAAAAAGGAATACTAGAGACA